GAAGCTGAAGTCCTGGGAACAACTCTAAACTGAAGACCTAGTGGCAGAGCAGACCACATGACCATTTCCAAGCCACCTCATCCAAAGTGCTACTGATTTGGAGTTTACCTCCAAGCCATTCCCTTCAGAGAGCAGAATAACTTCATCAGATGATTCACCAAAGGCTCCTCAAGCCTGCTTTCAGGATCTGTGGTTGAAAGGCAAGACCTGGAGGTTAGCCTTAGAACAAGGACACTTTGGGTAAAAGATGAATGGTCCTGCCCTATTCCTTCCATGATGGACAAACTTCTACAATGGCCTTGCTCTTCCTTGCCGGCCACTTCTGTCACCATGAAAAGACCTTACATTAGATATTGGGGCTTTCGCTTCCCACTAAGAATGTGACTGCATACCTGCAGCAACTCTGTCCAAATCAGTATAGCGACAGAAACTTTTGGCGTCTGTGGCAATAAAATCTGCACAATTTCAGGGCCAGGCTGGAGAAGAAGCCTAGCAGGAATACAGGAAGTAGAAAACAGTAATGTTACTGAGAAGTCATGGTTTCCTATGAAGAAAGGTAAGATCAAGTTGAGTGTGGCAAGTAGCTGATTGTCCCCCAAAGCCACTCTCCCCTTCTTCCATCATAAGAGTTTTAGCTGGACACACAGTTACCCAGCTAGAGCCTACATCTGTCTCCCTCTTTTGGAGCCGGGTGTGCGCGTATAACAAAAGAGCAGGAGATGTACACAACTTCTGGGTTGTCTCCAAATTAAAGACAACCTGCTTGTCATGCATAAGCTCTCTTTCTCTGTTTCTGCAAAATACAACGTGGAAGCAACAGTCACTTAGATGTAACCATTTAGATAAGAACAATGCACTGAGGGACCCGGAAAGAACCTGGGTTTCTGAAGGATCTCACGGGGCACAGCTACCCCACAGCCTGGACTGGCTGGACTACTCTTTGAGTACTACTTTATTTAAGCCACTGCATCTATAGGTCTCTTTGTAATAGTAGCTTAGCCTAATTAATATATTAGCTATTCTCATTTAGCCTATAGTCAAGTAATGAAAGCGTTAGATTGAAGCCTATGAAATTGCTGTTTTTGTAGGTCAAAAACATTGGAATATCACTACACAGTTCACACTGATGAAATCTGGCCAGATATTTTAAGGGAAGAAAACTCTTTTCTGCATGATAGTCACTTCACCCTATAATTAATGCTTGGGGATATACGATGCAATATACAGAAGCTACAAAACATCACTAAAAGAAATTAGAAAAGGTCTACGTGAATAGGAATATATCTCATGTTCATGGATTGGAAGACTTAATGTTGTTAAGCTAGCAACAGTTCCCAAAGTGACCTACAGGTTTAACACAATTCCCATCAAAATCTCAGTTGCCTATTTTGGAGAAATTGACAAAGTGCTCCTAAAATTCATTTGGAAACGCAAGGCACACAGAATGGCCAAAATAATCTTGAAGAATAGCAAAGCTGGAGGACTCACATGTCCTAATTTCAAAACTTAGTACAAAGCTACAGTAATTAAAACAGAATGGTACTGGGGTGCTTGGGTGGCTCAGTTGGTTAAGCATCCAACTTTGGCTCAGGTCATGAAATCATGGTTTGTAAGTTCAAGCCCTTCATTTGTCAGGCTCTGTGCTGACAGCTCAGAGCCTGCCTTGGATTCTGTCTCCTCCCCTGCCTCCCTCTGCTCGTCCCTGCTTATGTTGAAAGAGAGAAAGAGAGAAAGAGAGAAAGAGAGAAAGAGAGAAAGAGAGAAAGAGAGAAAGAAAGAAAGAAAGAAAGAAAGAAAGAGAAAGAAAGAAAGGGAGAGAGAAAGGAAGAAAGACTGATTAAAACAAAAGAGTCGTACTGGCATAAGGATACACACATAGACCAATGAAATATAATTGACAGTCTAGAAATAAACCCTTCCATCTGTGATAAATTACTTTTTGACAAGGGTGACAATTAGAAAAGAACAGCCTTTTCAACAAATGGGGCTAGATACAGTAGTCCCCCCTTTATCCATGGGAGATATGTTCCAAGACCCCCAGTGGATGCCTGAAATTGCAGGTGGTACAGAACCCTATAGATGTTTTTTCCTATACACACATAAATATGATAAAGTTTAATTTATAAATTAAGCATAGTAAGAGATGAACAATAAAATGGAATAATTATATTATAATAAAAGTTATACAAATATGCTCTTTCTTTCAAAATCTTATCATTCTATACTCACCCTTGTGATGATGTGAGATGATAAAAAGCCTATGTGATGAGATGAAGTGAGATGAATGATGTAGGCATTGTGACCCAGCGTTAGGTAATACTGACCTTCTGATGATAGGTCTGACCTTCCAGACTATGGTTGACCATGGGTAAATGAAACCATAAAAAAGTGAAACCACTGATAAGGAGCGACTACTGTAGTCACAGGCAAAAGAATGAAGTTAAACCCCTTACCTCACACCACATACAAAAATTAAGTCAAAATGGAACACAGACCTAAATGTAAAAGCTAAGAGTTTTATAACTCTTAGAACATGGGTATAGATATTCATAAAACTTGGGGATGGTTTCTTAACTATGACACCAAAAGCCTAAGCATAAGCACTCAAAGCACAAGCAATCAAATAAAAAAATAGATAAATTGGACCTCATCAAAATTAAAAATGTTTCTGTTTCAAAGAATACCATCAAGAAAGTAAAAAGAGGGCAGCTGGGTAGCTCAGTCATTAAGCATCTGACTTCAACTCAGGTCATGATCCCATGGTTTGTCAGTTCGAATCCCACATTGGGTGAGCTCAAGTCCCGCTTCTAGTGAGCACGAACCCCGCTTTGGGTGAGCGTTGCCTCTCTCTCTCTCTCTCTCTACCTCTACTTCTGCCCCTCCTAGGATTCCTCTCTCTCTCTTTGCCCCTCACTAAAAAAAAAAAAAAAAAAAAAAAAGAAAAAGAAAAGAAAAAAACAAGAAAAAAGAAACCCATAGAATGGGAGAAAATATTTGCAAATCATGCACCTGATAAAGGACTTATATTAAAAATATATAAAGAACTCTTTCAACTTAAAAAAAAGACAGATAACCAACCCAGTTTCAAGACTAGCAAAGGATTTGAATAGGCATTTATCCAGAAAAGATATACAAATGGCCAATAAACACATGAAAAGATGCTCAACATCAGGAGTCATTAGAGAATAAAATCAAAATTACAATGAGATACCACTTCATATCTAACTGGATAGCAATAATTAAGAAGACATATAATAACAAGTATTGAGACAATGTAGAGAAATTGGAACCCTCCTACATTGCTAATGGAAATGGAAAATGGTGCAGCTATGGTAAAAAAAAAAAAAATAGTTCGGTCGTTCCTCAAAAAATTAAACACAGAATAACCATATAACTTAGCAAATCCACTTCCAGGTATATACTTAGGGGAACTGAAAATCTATGTTAATCTATGTTCACACAAAAGCTTGCACAAAAATGTCCACAACAGTATTATTCACAACTGCCAAAAAGTGGAAACAACTCAAATGTTCATCAACTTATAAATGGATAAATAAATTTCCATAGGATGGAATATTATTCAGGTATAAAGAGGAATGAAGTTCTGACTCATGCATGCTACATGAATGAACCTTGAAAACATGATAAATGAAAGCAGCCAGTAAAAAGACCACATGTTGTATTGATTCCATATATAAGAAATGCCTGGAATTGGCAAATCCATAGAGACAGAAAGTAAATTAGTAGTTGCTGGGGACAGGGGGAGGCAGGATTGGGGAATGACTACCAACAGGTATTGGGTTTCTTTTTGGGATGAGAAAAATAATTCTGGAAACAGATAGCAGTTGTAGTGGTTTGAATGGTAGCCCTAAAAAGATACATCCATGTCCTAATATCCAAAACCCTTATGTGGAACAGAATCTCCCCCAAAGTCTCAGAGGGGGCATAGCCCTGTTAGTACTGATTTCAGACTTCTGGCCTCCACACTATAAAGGTCTATTGTTTAAAGCCACCAGGCCTGCGGTAGTTTGTTACAGCAGCCTTAGCAAGCTGGTAACAATGCCGAGTGGTACACAGTTGGTAAATTTACTGTAAACCATCGACTTCTACATTTTAAAGGGTGAACTTCGTAATACGTGTATATCTCAATAAAGCTGTTTTTTTTTTTTTTTTTTTTAATACACACATTCGTCATATACACACACAAGCTCACTTTACAACTCACCAGGAAGACACAACTTCATAGACTGAAGTCCGATGATAACCATGGCCCTTTCTTTTGGTGTACCAAGGTGATGCTACTTCTCACAGCCAGGAGGATGCACCCTCTGCACAAGCTCTTCCTCCCATCAGTGGGGATTAGATTTTTAGATCCATGTCCCTATGACCTCTTAGGCTGACATTTACTAGGGGAACGGCTAGTCTAATCTGTGACTCTGCAGTTCTCAGTACATGCTTGGGACCCATCTTTTCCCACTTCTGTATCAATGTTCAACAGATAGTGCCCTGACTAAAAGGTTAACCATATAACTAGAAAGCATAATTTCCAACCCACCAAAACAACAGAGATAGCACAAAGAATACTCATCAGCTGAAGAGCTTAGAGTGAGAGCAAGTCCAGCAATAACAGCCGCGGTTGCTAAGGAAGCCAGGGGGACCCCGTGGAAGGTCAGTCCCCAGGAATGCCTGGGTGCCCTCACCACCCTACAGTCAGAGATGGGAGTACACACTGCCCCTGGGATCTACTGGTCTTTCCTACGGAGCAATCACTCACACACAGAGGCGGTACCTGCCACAACACTAAAGGAATTTTGGATAGATGAAGGCGTTAGAAACTGTCCCATGGCAACCTGGGAGTTACTACAGGTTGCTGTGAAGGGGTCACTTAGACCTACTTGGGGTGTCCGGGAGTCTACTCATCCTCAGTTCTCCAAGTCCTGAAACACGTGTGCAGCCAAAAGAGACCAGGGCGGCACTGCCCCTGGCCCTTTGGACCTTACCTCCACACATCACTGCCTTTGGAAAACATGGAGGCACGGATGACTTCGGGTGCCATCCAAGCATATGTCCCTGCTGCGCTCATCTTTGTGGTTCGGTGCCATTCTCGAGCCAGGCCAAAATCAGTGATCTTCAGAATCTTGTTGCTCAGGTCTCCATTCTCCACCTTCTGGAGGATCAGTACTGGGAAGAAAAGGAACATAGAAGAAACCAGAAAGTCTGCATTGATCACAGGGAAACCACCAACCACAGAGCCCTCCTGCCAGATTCCTACCCTCTCCTCTAGGCTCCACTGTGCAGCTACCGTGGACTGATGGTAGGAGCCATCATTTTTGGTAAGATGCACCTACGATGCATCCATTTTCGTGGCCAGCCCTTTATAGGCATTATCATTAACTCACAACAACCTTGTGAGGTAGGTACCAGTGCCATATCCTTTTTACAAGATGAGGAAACTGACATAAAAAATCAACTAATAAGCCAGGACTGACACAGGCAGACTGACTCAAAAGCCTTCCCTCTTAACCTTCACAGCACACAGCCCATTCACGCCCTATGGAGGGACCCGTGATGTCACAGCTGACCCTTCTGAGGAGAGGCTCCCTGGGCTTCCTATCTGGCCAGGCACCCCTGGGCCATAACCACTCTCAGACCACAAGGAATGGGGTGCATTTTGGAGGCGCAAGGAATGGATTTTCAAGGTTCCAGGCAGTGCCTGCACAGTTCCCATAAACCTCTCCCAAGTTAAGTTTGTAAGAAAGCTGTCTCTCCGGCACAGAGATTTTCCTTTGATCCAGGAATTCCCTCCCCCACCCCCAGCCACTGAGAACTGCCTGACAAATTGAAGAAGTCAGAGGATACATGTATGTTCACAACCATGAATCTCTCTGTGTGTATGACCCAGGAGGAAAAAACTAGTTCACTGAATCAGTAATACTCTGGGCCTGTCTCCCAAGTTCTAACACCAAAGCACCACAGTGTGGAGCCATCTGGGCTCTCCTAGCACAGTAGCTGAGGCGGCTACCTCACCTACATGACAGCTCCAGCTGTCTGCATCCCCTTGCAGGAGTCAATCTTCCTAAAAAGGGCAAACACGCTAAGGGGCACCTGGGTGGCTCAGGTGGGTAAGGGGCTCAGGTCACGATCTCGCGGTTTGTGAGTTCGAGCTCCCCATCGGGCTCTGTGCTGACAGCTGGGAGCCTGGAGCCTGGTTCCGATTCTGTGTGTCTCTCTCTCTGCCCTTCCCTCACTTGCAATTTCTCTCTCTCTCAAAAATAAATTAAAAAACAAAAAAAGAGCAAACACGCCAAGTGACTGAAGTGCTGTATGCCAAGCCGAGAAGCTCTGAGCGGGCAGAGGGTACGTGCGAGCCAGGCCTCCATTTCCACAAGCAGGAAGGTTCTGAAGGCCTCATGAAAGCACAACCTCTCCCGGGCCGGACGCTGAACACCTGGGATTCAGAGCTTTATACTCAGGACTTCAGAGAAGGTAGGAAGAGTCTCTCCCCATCCCTGCTCTCCAAGTCCAAATGGGAAGGGGAGGGAAAGGAATCCACTGAAGACAGAGTAACAAAAAAGCTGACTCGGTTCCTCCAACCACTCTGTCTAGGTAAACAATGAAAAAAACCAGTTCTGAGCCCTACTGTGCTGGGTCACACCCTCCCAGGGTTGACTTTCCAGTGACCCTCGCTGAGGGCCTCTTCAGAAGGCTTTACCTTTACCTCTGAGAGGCAAACTCCTTCAATAAAGCGATGTGTGATGGTGGTACTCTGGGTACCATGGAGGGGTTTAGGGGTGCTTTTTAGGGCACAAGAGCCTTAGGCAGTTCCTTCAAGGCACACAGCTATGCTTTTCTCATCCTGCCCCCAGCCTGCAAATGCCCACTGGATTGTTACCTATTGGAAGGATGGTTACCTATTGTTACCTACTGGAAGGACAAAGATCTTTCTGTCCTAAGTGCTTCTCAGAAAATCAGCAGTGAAGAGGGGATTACAAGCAGCTATAGAGCTGGAAGCACAAAAGAAAACAGTGCTGGCCCCTCCCTAGATCTAATGGACTAGGTCTCCATCCTCCACACCCTCTCCCGGACTCCCCTGACACACCCCTCCCCACTCTGAGCTGAATGGATCCAAGTCTCTAAATGCTTGGACAGATTTTAAAAAAACTTTCTCCATCTCCTCGAATAACAAACATCTTTCCAGATTCTTCTGTGCCCCTCTCCCCTTCTCTGCCGGCAGATATAACAAATATGCCCTCAAATTGCTGGGCCAGTGACACTAAAGAAACCCACCATTCCCCGATTAGAGGCAGCCACCAGCTGCTGACCCTCTCTCTCTAAGCCACCCTTAAACCAAAGATTCAGAGTGAGCCCATCCCCTTACATAGCCAATGGGATTTAGTCTTATCACCCAAACTCCAGGTGCTGGGACAGGGGGAGTGGGAGGAGGGTAACAGTTTGATGACGCATCTAGAACCAGCTGACCTTCCGCAGATCCTAGACTGGAAGGGGGAACAGAGAAGTTTAGGTTCTGTTACAGGACATGGGCTTAGAGAGAATGAATGGTACAGCAAAGATGTTTAAATACATTAGCCTGCCAGATGGCTGGAGAGGGACGGCAGAATGATGGAGATGGGGCAAGAATCCACCCAGGGAAGGTCTCCCTGAATACGAATGCCTTTAGACAGTGCAGGTCCAGCCTAGTTCCACCTAATCCCCACCACTCCCTGCTGACTTCTATCCGGCTGACCTCAGACACAGATCCCCATAGATTGGACCCGTGAAGGCATCAGAGTTAGAAATCGCCGGCCATGGGGTCCTGACCTCAGCAAAGAAGAGACTGTCATCAGAAGCCAGCTAGTGATCCTGGCTACATCTATCTCTGTCTAGTTCCAAAATATTTTTCATCACCTCCAAAAGGAAATCCATATTCATCAAGCAATCATTCCCCATTCTCCCCTCCACCCGACTCCTAGCAGCCACCAACCTGCTCTCTCTCTATGCATTTACCTACTGTGGATATGTTACATAAATGGAACCATGCAATATATGACACACTTAGCATAATGTCCTCAAAGTCCATCCATATTATACCTTGTATCTGCACTGTATTCCTTTTCATGGTTGAATAATATTCCACGGTATAGACGCACCACCATTTGTTTATCTCTCCACAACAGACATTTCGGCTGTTTCAACCTTTTGATTATTGTGATTTAGTGCTGCTATACACACATATGTACATAAATATATTCATTTGAGGACTTGTTTTCAGTCCTTTGGGCTATGTACACAGGAGTGGAATAATGGCTATAATGGTAATTCTATGTTTGCTGTTTCCCACGCCAGCTGTGCCATTTTATTTTTCTTAAATTTTTTATTTTTAATTTTGGGGAGAGAGAGCATGCATGAACAGGGGAGAGTGGCAGAGGGATAAAGAAAGAGAATCTGGGACGGGATCCATGCTCAGCGTGGGGCCTGGTGCGGGGCTCAATCCCATGACCCTGAGATCATGACCTGGGCCTAAATCAAGAGTCAGACACTCAAACAACTGGGCCACCCAGGTGGCCCTTTCCAAAAAAATGTTTTAGTTGTGCCATTTTACACCCCCACCAGCAGTGTATGAGGGTTGCAATGTCTCCACATCCTCAACGCACTTATTTTCCTTTAAGTTTTTTAGATGATAGCCATCCCAGTGGATGTAGAGTGGCAGCTCATTGTGGTTTTGACTTGCATTTCTCTAATGACTAATGATGCTGAGCATCCATTCACGTGCTTGTTTGCTGTCTGTATATCTTCTTTCAAGAAATGTCTTTTTGGGGCACCTGGGTGGCTCAACTGGTTAAGTGTCCAACTCTTGATTTCGGCTCAGGCCATGATCTCATGGTTCGTGAGCTCGAGCCCCGTGTTGGGATGTGTGCTGACGGTGCAGGGCCTGCTTGGGATTTTCTCTCTCCCTCTCTTTCTGCCCGTCCCTGCTCATGTGCTCACTCTCTTTCACTCACTCTTATTTAAAATAAGTATATTTTTAAAAAGTAATGTCTTTTTGTTTTGAGTTATAAGACTTCTTTCTATATTCTGGATACTAAACCCTTACCATATATATGATTGCAAACATTTCCCCCCCTTTCTGTAAGCTGTCTTTTTCCTTACTTGACAACGTCCATGGATGCACAAAAGCTTTTACTTTAGATGAAGTCCACTTTATCTGTTTATTTTGTTGGTCATGCTTCTGGTGTAAGAAGAATTCCATGGCCAAATCAAAGTTTATAAAGATTTACTTGTATGTTTTAAGAGTTTTACAGGTTCAGCTCTTGTATTTAGGTCATTGATCCATTCTCAGTTCATTTTTGTATATCATATAAGGGTGTCCAACTTCATTTGTTTGCATGTGGATATCCAACTGTCCCATTTGTTAAAGAAAATGGCTTTACTTTTAAAAACAGAACAGAGTAGCTGTCTCCCAACACACTTTCCCCAGGGAGAAAAAGGTTTAATCACAGCAACTCACTTATCTGTACCGCTGCAGTTAGACCATTCTGAGTTTCTACCACTGACAAACAGCCACAGAACTAACGAATGATTGTGCTTTACTTCTTAGAAAACTTAACAATGGTTTATCAAAATCTACTGAAGTCCATCCAAGCGTGTTGTGTGGCCCTCACCTCTCAAGGCTAGGGCAGTGGAACAAATCCTGAAATCAACAAGTCCAGGCCTAAGTCAGTGGAGGTGCCGGCCAGGGTAAGGGGAACAGGGGGAAAAAACCAAAAACCTACTGGCTAACCAGATACAGAGGCTTGATGGAGAAGGGGGCGGGGTTCCCGTCTTTCAGACATGCGGGACAAGTAGAATAGAGGTGTCGTGGACTGAAGTTGAGAGGCACAGCCCTTTGAGGAAGCCAAGTACAGTTTGGGAAACATCATGGGTATATGGTGACAGTAACAAGAGTCAGTGTGGACCAAACAAACTAACAAACCAACACCCAAAAAGCAGACAATTTAAATCCCAGGCTTGACACTCCACATAGGACCCTGCACAAATTTCATAAACTCTGCATTTCTATTCTCGTTTCTGTAAAATGGGGGTAAAGATTAAAGGTGATGTAGTAACGAATCACGTGGCAGAGGGTCTGACACATACACAGCCACTCAGGACACTATAGCTATTATGATTACTATCATGATTAA